AGTTCTTACCCAAACCATCCCACAATCTGTCAGAAAAAGAAACTCACAACTGAGAGGGTGGGAACTAAACCTCCATGAAGATGCTCTGGATATGGATCCATCCCTTCCTTAGATTAGTCTTAGTATTTCAGCTATTTGAAAAGCAAAGGCTTTTCTTTCTGGCCTGACTTGTTAAGATGGTCTCTCTTAATCCACTTGTCTAGCAGTGYCTTTGAAACTTCATTCAGCAGTGAGAGCCAAGCTGCTGCCTGTGCGTGCCAGCAGAGYTCCTGGGGAGCGACACACACTTCAGCCAGCTATCATTTGCTCCACCTGCATTTAGCACACATTCATTTCAAGCTTCAAGTGCAAGATTCCACAGATTCAGAGTAAGCCAGATGTTGCCTTTTCCTCTCAAAAAACACCCATGACATTGGAAACTGCCAGTGCGATTCACCTAACATATACGAGAAAAATATTCACACAAACTAGAAAAATTTTCACTACTTCACCATCAGCATGACACTGGCTACAGCCAGTTACAGCTGTTTTTACCAATGGCTCATATTCATCCCAGGTACTTTGTTCACATGCATGATGCTAAAAGGGAACTTTTCAGGAATGATTTTGTGCAAGATCTCAGGATGATTTGATTCCTGCTCAAAATAAACCCAGAGAAGAGTAGATCTGTACTCCTAGTCAAGACACATTTTCTCCTGTTCAGGAGAAATCCAGGATTTCTCTTCTGCCTCTCTTGAAACATCAACGTCAACAAGTTTTCAAGACAAAAATGAGTAAGAAGAGGGAAAGGAGTGACTATATCCTAATTTCTGTGAAGAAAGCAAGGCACAAGTCTTTCAATGAAACTCTGTCTCCTGCTTCTGATGGCACAAACAGCACTCGGYGCAAACAAATGCTCTGCAGGCTTCCTAAGGAGATGGCTTGGTGATTCAGATAGAAAATTTTGAGGWAGACAAATACCATTATTAAAACCTCCCGTCTGAACACTTCCAAAAGCCAGGTCAGAACCTTTTCAAACACTGCYATAATGGTTGCTTTTGAAGTGAAGCACAGCCTTGTCAGTACTTCCTGCTCCTGAGCCAACCCAATCAGCATGCATCCAGCTCTGCATCCCACTGTGCATGGAGATCCCAGCTGGGAATAGGACTGTATTTCCTTCTGTCTCTTTTAACCCCGACTGAAACTCTTTGTGCGCTACTCACGACAGATGAGAGCAGAGCCCGCATGGCACTGACAGCAACGCTGCCCCCAAGCAGCKCATCACCGAGATACACAGGAGAATACAGGGGAGCTCATGAACTGAAAGTGGCTGCAACCAAACCTGAAGCCACATGGCAGAAGCAGTCCCAGAAGAGATGCAGGAGATATGGAGAGAGACTTCTTAACCTTTGACAGACACCAACAGCTTCCTTTCTCCATTTCTGCAAAGGTTTCCCTCCTCTGTTGATCCCCATTTCATATGCATAGTCAGGTCCAAAGAGATTCTTCCCCAGCTGTGRGATTTCTCTCTCCTCCAGACACTTTCATTGTATTATTTATAAGCCAATGTAATGTTATCAGTCCCCATACTCTAGGGCTTGAATACTCTTCTGCTCTTATACCCTCTTTTTTTTCTCACTATCATGGTTTTGGGATGGTATTTTCCAATTTAGTGTTCCCACTGAAACCACTCCAAACCACTTGTCACTCACTCCTTCCTTCCTCCCCCTTCCCAGTCTCCCTGCTCTGGATGGAAAGGGGAATTGAAGGCACAAATGGCAAAGATCACAGGTTGAGAACAATTTACTGGAAACAGCAATGAGATAAGAAAATTAACAACAATATTAGTGACAGAGGGTACAAGAAGAGTTATTGCTCACCCCACAGAATGTGGCCCAACAATACCCTCCTGCTTCCTCTGCCACACTCCCAAACCCAAAGCAAGCCTTTCCTCCCTCTCTGGAAAATTATGTGAAGTGCTATAGAATAATCTCTGGATCTAGCTATGCTCCCTCCTGTCTASTGCAAAAATTAACCAGGACACTCACCTACTTAGTTTGTAATTTTTTCTCCAAAATCTCTCAATAAATTAGCAATCCTGCCAAGTTTCTTATKCGCCTACCACTGTGAGTGCAATTGCAACAACAACTTCTACACTGAAGCTCAAAAAGAGAGGGAGAATGAATAGAGCTCGTTTGTTTTTATTTGGGATGGTGGATTGACAAGCAATGTAGCAATAATGCCGTTATAACTGTGTTATATAAAGCTTCTATCTATTTTTCTAGACTCACTAGAAGTTTCAGTTCCTGTAAGCTTGAATACATCGACCCCTTAAAAGCACAATCATGTGCTTGTGATCCCTAGAGAACACTAAGTAGATTTTCCACACAATTAAGTTTATGATATCCAATATCTGTCTTAGCCAGAACAAACTGCTTTTCATAGGCTCTACAGTTACTCTTGTTTTAGTTTAAATGGAAAGACATGTTTTTTCCTAATTTCCTACTTCATTATTGTTTCTTCTTCTCCCTCTAAGACCCAAAATTCTGGGGAACCCTGAGGGCCTCACAAATCCTGCAAGCTCCAAGACAGAACCCTGCCAGGCAGACTTTCTTTTACATACAGGGAAAGCAAAACTTACCAACAGTATTACATCACAAACTCACCATCCCTGCATCACAAAATATCTTGTAATACCTTCCTCAAGAGAAAAGACATCTCCAACAATCACATAAAAATTATTTAGGCAAATGGCTTTCTCCTCCTAATCGAGCAGCTGCTGCTCACACATACTGGTAAAAGCCCTGGTCAGCAAAGCCAAACATTGACTAACTGGATACATGTGCTTTTTAAACTATTTTGATAGCCCATCAGCTCAAAAACACCAAAATGAACTTTGAACTTCTATATCAGTGGGCTGATTCAAGCAGGGCTTTCAATGSCTTACAGCTAATTACAGTTGCATTTATTGATTTTAGTCTGTTCTCAAGCACTCTACGATGTCTTCAGGTCTGAAACCTAAGTGTCAGCTCTGCCATCAGCATCAYTGTATGAAGACCAGTGCTCTGGCTCACCACTGCTTTATCACAACACCCAAAGGGATTCCTGAGCCAATTCATGACCTTACCAAGAGGTGACATTATTTACCACAGGCCCGGAGCAAATCTCCAGAACCAAACACCCTTCCTGTTACCCCGGTCCAAGCACACTAACTGTGTCAGGAAACATTTCTATACAGAACTACAAGCTAGCATAAACTACGTATAAATTAAATATATATTCAAGTGAGTCCTAAAATAAAGTTGATCTCTATTCCAAAATATTTTTTTATCATTCAAATTGTCAAAGAAAAAAGAGACATAACAAGAGCACAGACATAGGATTAATAGGAGATACACATAATGGGAGTCCTTCATGCACTTCAACAAACACAAATTACGGTGCTGCAAAAATGTAAATGCTGATTAAGAGTTTACCTGATCTTACACACCCTTCCATACTCTGGAGAACATTACTTCAACTCAGAAGCACTTTTGACAGCACTCCAACAACTCCAACAGTTAAAGTCATAAGCATTAAACAAAGAAGAAGCTCTCTAACTCTTGTTCATCAGAACTTTACTCACTCATTAGCTCATCAGTCCAACCGACTCTTGATCTAAGTTGATTTGAAACAGCTCTAACCGTTGGCTTTGCAATACACCTCCCACACTCAGTACATCTGAGACTCCACCAGCTCTAGGAACTCTTACATATGCCAGGAACAAGCATTTGGAGAAGTGAAAACCAAAACACAAACCCAATCATGTGGGAGATAAGATGCAATAACCACATCCTTCAAACTCAGCTTCAATTTTTGAACCCACCCAGGCCAAGACACCATTCCACTCCTGCCAGTCTGAACATCAGGCACCATATTCAACCTTGGCAGCTTCCTGGGAAGGGATGAGGGTAAGCACCCTATGGATGGTACTGCACTGCAGTGGGGTGAAAGGGAGTATCAACAAGCAGCCTCTCCTACCCTGAGAGGCTTTTTGCTATCTACTCTTTCCCTCTGCAGTCAAGGCCAGCAGCAAAACAGCTCCCCAGAGCACAGAGGAGGTGGTTGAGCACATAGAAGGCGTCAAAGATGAGTGATTTAGGCTCACTTAAAGAAGACATACTTTAAACCTTGTGCCTCAACAGGAGGGTCTTCCTTATCCCTTATCTTTACCCTTTCCTTATCATCTTTCTTACTCCTCCCCCTCCACACTCTGTGGATATTTTTTTTCCGGTTTATTTTGGCTGTAGAATAACTGATTTTATATTTTTGTTTGTTTTTTCTCTGTGTGCTTTTTCAGTAGTATCAACGAACTTTGTCACGCTTCTGCTTTTGTATTAAACCTGTTTTTGCTGAAATCTTTGCTAGCGATTCTTTAAGAGACCTTAAAACACTGAATCACGACAGGGGACATCCAGGGGCAGGAAGGGAGTACGGTAGGCAAGGGGGAAGGAGGGAAAGCCCTGCGTGATGCACAGCAGGCAGAGCCGGGTCACCCAGCGAGCCCTCCGGGAATCCCTCCGGGCCCTGGGCGAGCCACGCCGCCGCCGCACAGCCGGCCCGGGGAGCACGGGGAGCAGCCCTAGTAGACGAGCCGCAGCGAGGCACCTGCCAAAGGCACCCCGCCGGTGATGCCGAGGGAACGGAGCTCACCGGGGCTCCGCCATCCCGCGGCCCCAAGTCCGCCCCGCAGCCACGAGCGGCCGCACTCCCGCTCCCCGCGCGGCCCGCGCAAGGGGGCCCCATCCCCAGCGCCGTCGCGCCGGGGCGCGGAGCCGGACGCTCACCGCGGCCGTGGCCAGGCTGTGCATGATCGCAGGGTGAGAGCGGAGCCGCTGTCGCCTCAAGCCCGCACCGCCATGAACGCGCTGCCGCCGCGACCTCTCACCCGCCGCGCGGGGGCCGCCGGGACGGGCGGGGGGGGCGGGGCCGGGCCCGCGCGGGGCGCGTGCGCGCAGAGCGGGAGCGCGCGGGGCGCGCCGGGAAGGCGCCGCCGCGCTGACGTGAGCGGGCGCGCGTTGCGCGCCGTCTCGCGCTGCCGTGGTCAGTTCCCGCCATCCGCCGCCGCCCCCTTCCCCCGCCCCCCCCGGGCCTCGCCCCGGCTCCCGCGGGACGCGCCGAGACGCGCCGGGACGCAGGTACCGGGGCTCGCCGCCCCTGCTCCTCCCCGCTCCCGTCGGCCGCGTGGCCCTCCCGCCGCGCGGCGACCGCCTCCCCTCAGAGCGGGCCCGACCCGGGGCGGGCGGCGCTCCCCGTACTCTCCGTGTCCCCGTGTGGGTGGGCGGCGGGAGGGGAGCGGGGCCTAGCCCGGGAAGAGCGGGACCGCCGCCAAGCCGGGCCTGAAGCGGTGCGGAGCCTGAGCGCGGGATGTCCGGGGGAGCCTCCCCGGCAGCGCCTCCCGGGCTGCGCGCAGGGGCCGCTCCATTCATTCCTTATGGGTTTTATCGGAAATACGTCTCGCCGTGTTTTCCGGGGCCCATGGGGCTGTGTCTCGCACCCCCGGACCCGTGGCTTTCCCGGGTGGAGAGCAGGGGAAAAGCCGGAGACCCGCGGCCGGACCCTGCCAGGTGACTGCGGGTCCCGCGCCATCAGGAATAAGCTCGTTTTCTTTCTTAGGCTTCCTCMGAAACTTTGGTTCCCATCTCCCACCGGCTGTCTTCGGGCACTTTTCCCCCCTTTCCTTAAATCCGTTGAAGGTGAGGGGTTTTGAGGACTTCTCTGTCTGGAATCGTGTCTGCTCCCCTTGTAGCAGCAACGAATTAGTGCACTGCTGCTCATACTGAGAAGATTTTATTTATCTAAATTTCTTTTACTGCTGTCYAGCTTTTCTTCACTGTGTTTGAAAACGGTGAAACTGTTCTACCAAACTTCTACGGAAAGTTCAAGCCATACTTCCATCCTCCTTTAGCCATTATTTGGCCTGCCAGTTTGTAAGTTTCTCCTTTTTAACAGGTTTTTAGGTGGAGCACACTTACTTTTGTTAGCTCTTTTCTGTGAGAAAACATGGCTCTGCTAAAAGTGCACGGACCTGTCCGGATGCGCAGCATGCAGACTGGAATTACAAAATGGAAAGAAGGGAGCTTTGAAATTGTGGAGAAAGACAACAAAGTGAGTCTAGTAGTTCACTACAATGTTGGAGGAATTCCAAAGACATTTCAGGTATGCCAGATATTAAGGCTTTTGTTTTAACAGTGCATGGATTGTGCTCTCTTGTGAACAGCTGTCCTCTTCAAGGCTATTAAGTGTCATTCAGACTTCCCTCTGTCACTGTGTCTTGTTCCTAGTTATCTGAACACTAATCCCTTTGTATAACTCTCCAGTAAATTATTTACACGTGTTGTTAAAGGATCTACCRAGGTTGGCATTGAGATACCACTGAGTGGGAAGAACCAAAAAAGCAGAGGAAAGTTACAGTAGTATAGAGCATCGTGGCTTATGTTTCAGATTTTTGGAGCCTGTAACCTTTCTATTACTGGCACATTTTCATTTTCTAGAGGTGAAGATCCTGACCATTTTGTACTAGCTGTGTTTTCCCAGATGAAGTGTAATGATGTTAGCACACCTCTAGCCTTTTGCTTGTTTATACAAGGYTTTGCTGAACATTAGTTGTTACAGTTTTAGGTTTTAAATGCAGATGCAGATCACCATTAAAGATTCTCTTGAAATATTCAGCCTAAMTTTTTCTCATTCTATAGTTGTTTTCAGGCTAGGCTTCCTAGTTTTTGTGCAAAATGCCCAGATTGAAAGAGGAGAGCTTTTTCTGTGAGAAATACATATCTGTTTTAAAAATACATACAGGATACAAGAGTGTTTGGAAATAAAAAATCCATCTTACTTAGCAACTTTTCAACAGCCTAAACTGATCTAAATGTTGGCTTCTGCTTTTTCATGGCACTGTTGTTTTTCATTGGTAATGTTCACCAGTCCTTTCTCTGAGCTATTGGTTTCTGTCTGCAGGTGCTGTGAGAAAAGGTTCACTTTCTTTTTGTAAGATTAGGTTTTTACTGCCTTAGTGTGCTGTAAAGTCTCACCAAAGAATCCCGCAGCTGGTGTTACCTTGAAGTCAAGGCCATGAGGAAGTTGTTAGTTCTGGATAGTTCCCACCTGTGTTACTGTAGACTTGAAAAGAMTTGCGTGCCCTTCCCATGTGCAATGCTGTGGCTGCAGTTTTGGTTTAATCCGATGTTGAACCATGTTTCTCCTGAGGAGAGCAGTCTCTTCTTCCCCTTGTGCATTCCCTGGGTCCMTGGGTGCTTGTTCTCACATGCTCTTTTCTGCCTGGATGAGTGATGTGGTGTGRCAGTGACTCGGGAGGGATGAGCCTACAGAACAGCTAACCATGGCCTAAAGGGGCAGGTTTTGTGCCCAGCGTCTCATGTCTGCTGTCTCTGGCACTTGTCAGATTTCTTTGTSATCTCAGTGGAGGGTTTTCACAGGAATTTGGAGAAAGGACTGAATGCAGGAACTAGTGGAGGGTGTGATAAACCACCATGAAGCTGGGACTGCAGCAAAGGAAAAGGAGGAAGCTTGTGCTGGAGTGCAGTTTGTGTGAGCCAGCCCCAGGCTGTCAGCATGCCACTTCAGGTGTAACAAATTCCTGATGATCTGGCTTTAGAAGTGACATTCCCTGTTTTTTTTTTTTTTTTGACAAGCTGCTCTGAGAGGACTGTGGGTGATTTCCCTGCTTTTTTTTTTTACTTTTCTGTGATGAAGCATTTGGATGGATCCAGGGTTGTATTTCTTTCTACAGTGACTGGTGTGTCATCAAATTTCTTCTGTCAGATRATATGTTTTAGTGATGTTTCGGAGCTTTGACTAAGTTGCCCYAGGTGCTAGATGTGTATTAAGATAAATACTTTGTTTCTGCGCACCTACCAACACTTTGTGACAATGTCTGGGTCATAACAGGCACGTGGAGAGTATGGATGTAGTCTTCTCCTGACAGGATTTTGAGTTTAAATRGGTTGTTTTGCACTGAGATGGTGAAGTAACTGTAATCCCATTGCACTGGACTCAGTGTTCTAGGAGAGGATGAAAATCTTGCAGCCCATTACTCAATTCTTAGATCTTTGAAGATATTTTTAGCTTATATTTTAAAAAATCTCTTAACGCCCCACCAAAAAAMCCAAACCCMAAACAAAAGGATTGAGCASAAGGTGTTCAGAAGTATAATGTTTCCATTGAAACAAGCCCTTAATTTCTGATTGAGGTGGTTTGCCAGCCTCTCTTACAAGCTGCTGTTGTGTCTAGGTTGGTTTTCTGAGAGGCTTGAGGTCCTAATGGAGAATAAGAAATCTGATTGGTGGACATGGAGTGGACATATTTTGCTATCTCAGTCTTTCTGAGCTACCTTCAAACTCCATGAATAGTAGAACCTTTACCCGACAGCCATTTTTTGTAGGTGACTTAGCATGAAGCAACAATTAAGCAAAGTTGCAATAAAGTAGTGGCGGCATCCTTAGGGGCCACAAAGTGTTATTTAAAGTACTCCTCTGTTCAGCCCTAACCCTGAAAGTTTTGACATCACTTAATTGTTACGATGTTACAGACTGAGCGTGTTTCTTACTGACTTACTCCCTCAGCAGATTTTTTAAGTAATTTCAAATGTGTTTTTTTCTGGGAGCAAATTGTAAAGTGAGAAGTTTGTATCTAACATTTGAAACTTTCCTCATGTTAAATYGTATTTCAGACTTGGTGTGGAAGTTTTCACTAAATGGAACTTTATGAAGTTGTTTTTCATTCACATTTAAAAATGCCATACTCAATAGGAAAGCAAGTTTCAGAAAGTTTATCCAGGGATGCAGAGACTGTTGAGCAATAGTGATACTGTCCTTTCAGTTCTGTCAGATGCCGAGGTCATAGATTGCATCCACGAGGTTTAATGTTTGCTTGAAGTGGAGCAAGGAGAAATATTTTGGTGGGAGTCTCTCTTGCCCTATTTGAAATATTTTGTTTGAATTTGTAAGTATTTTGGCCTTTTAAAAWTGGATTTATGTTTACAGTCACTTTCTTGTTTTCAGTTAAGCCATAACATCAAAACCGTGACCTTACGACCAAATGGCAGAAAACTGTGCTGCCTGATGCTGACACTAAAGGATACCAGCTTCCTGACAATTGATAAGGTACCATTTAAAGATGCAAATGAAATGCGGATGTATCTGGATGCAGTCCATCAAGACAGAGTTCATACTGGTAAGTGCAGCTGTTGTAAATCATATTATAGCATTTTGGAGAGGAGGGGTGTTGCGTTTTCTTTTTTTCTGTCTTGTCATGTTTCACCATGTCCAGCAACAACTAAGCCCCAGGCAGCTGCTCACTCAGTCTTCCCAGTGAGGTTGGGAAGACAATGAGAAAAGTGAAAATRAGGAAATTTGTGGGTTCAGACAAAGACAGTTTAGTAAGTAAAGCAAGAGCTGTGYATGCAAGCAAAGCAAAACAAGGRATTCATTCAACACTCCCCATGGGCAGGCAGGTGTTCAGCCATCTCCAAGAAAGCAGGACTCCACCATATGCAATGGTGACTTGAGAAAACAAACACCATTACTGTGCCTCCCTTACTTCTTCCCTAGCTTTACACACTGAACGTGACATCGCATGGTGTGGGATATCCCTGTGGTCATTTGGGKTCAGCTGTCCTGGCTGTGTCCCCTCCCAGCTTTCTGTGCACCCCCTGCCTCCTCAGGGGTGACATGAGCAGCTGAAAACGCCTTGACTCWTTGAGAGCACTGCTCAGCAATAACTAAAGCATCTCTGTTATCAGMACTACTTCSAGCACAAATCCAAAGCATAGCCCCTTRGTYGCTACTGTRAAGAAAATKAACTGTGCTCCAGCCAAAACCAGCACACGTCTTCAGCACATTTTGTCCTCCTTGTGTTCCTGGCTTTCTTTGCACTTCTGTAAATGCCCATTTCTGGTCTCAAACCAAACAGAACCTCATTTTTTGTTTTATGYCTTTCTCATGCTGAAAAATAAGCAGAGATTAACATACAGGATTTGTTAATGTTGTGGTTGGTGTTTGAAAGATGTCTGTTTATCACCCATGAACAATCTCTTTGGTTTTCATTTTACTTCTTACTTTATTTTGTTTTTTTTTAAGGATAGGGACTCTGCTGCCAAGTGACTAAATGACCACTATGAGGGATATCCATAAACACATGCTTATGTCTGTGCTCTCAGAATATTGTGGTCTGTTGGCAAGAAATATATTTTGTCCTTTCCAAAATCAACTCCAGCTAAACAACATCTTRCAAATACAAATGCCAATCAACATCTTTCAAATAAAAATGACAATCAAATCAAATACTGTGTACTTTTTCTGTCAGCTGGGAAACCTTCACAAGGATCTGGCAGCTTTGGAGGTGTGCTGGGCAGCAGGACCACACAGAAAGAAGCTAACAGGCAATTCTCGYACATAGAGAACCAGGTTTGTTTAATCGTTAAAATTTTCCTCTCTGTTTTTAATCTAGTCCTCTCTTCCTCTTATTCTTTTATTGTACGTTGTAATAGCACTACAAGTACTTTACATCCAAAGTATTGGTAATCTAGAGAGCTTGGAATAGATGTGTACAGGGTGGTTGGCAATAGCATTTATTTGTGAGGAGATGTATCTTCTGTATGAGTAAAAAAGGTCAGTGTCTGGCTGTGGAAGTCAGAATAYGTTCTTCAAATGTGAACTTTTAGGCAGAGAAGAAGGAGAAATTGAAGGAAAGTACATGATTTAGACTTGCGTTTCACATAGTGCTGAATCTCCCTTTGCTTTATGCTGAACACCTTACATGTATGTGACCATGTGTTAGCATAGGTCTTAATGTGTTTAGTAGACATTGGCCAAATGTGTTCATCAAAAACCTGCTGATCCAGGCTTGTGTCAGAATAAACTTACTGAATTTGTGTCATTTTGCTGACATTTTTGTAGAAATTTCACAGACTTTTCCCCAGAAGTTGTTTTCCTTCAAAACATTTTTGTTCTTTTTCTCTCCAGATTTCATGGTGTATTTACTGGCTTTAATTTACTTGTTATCTTTATGAATATACTTGTATTACTGCCCTGAGGGAGACTATTTCTGACATTGTCCCAAAACTAATTCTACATGCTGCTTAAAGGCAATCTCACAGTAAAACTTAAGGCTGTGTATACAGTGGTGAGATTAGACATGTTCAGTTTTCAAGTCTAAAATTGACCAACATTCCTTAGTCAACCAATTATTATCTCTTTCCATTGCATTACACATGGGGTTTGCTTGGCCCAAGGCTGTCAGGGCGCTGTTTTAATTATGTGGGATTTAATACAGCTTTGTAATATTTTTAATTGTAATACCACCCAGGATTGATGTGGGGATAGTTAGGAATCATGCCTTGGGTTTTTTAATGTCAAAGCTTGTAAAGGAGATTTTCAAAACTAAAGTTCAACTGACTTAGCATTAGAAAATGAGGGGAAAGTGGTTACTGCAGTAGAGTTACATGTTTACAACTTGCATGATACAGTCAAAATTTTATTAGTGTGTAATTAGTGTTCAAGCTSTCTGAATCTATTACAAGTAGCATCTGCCTGCTTCTGGATGCTACACTGTAGCAAATTAAAAAATTGTGGAAATTACGGAGTAGACTAAAGGTGGTCCTGTTTTCACTCTTCGGTTTTCTCTCTGGCTTCTCCACTTGGGTTTTGCAGACTCCTCCTAAAAGAGTGACTGTGGAGAATAAGGAGGAAAATACCTTTCGCAAGGTGCTGGGTACCCCAGCGAGRGGCTCTGTTAAGAATACTGCTGGAGCTGGGACACCGAGCAACAGAGTGAACATTTCAGCATCTCCTGCATCATCAGTCCCTCACAGAACAGGCTTGTTGGAGAGTCGGTAGGAAGATTTTCATACTATAATACTGTTAAARTTTAGCTCTTTATAGAGCTACAGGTGGAAATYGGAACACTGAGATGTAAGGAGGGAATACAGTTCTCCCTCTAGTTTTGCTGTTCCTTTAAATAGGACATTAGTACATGCTTTTATAGCCTCTGACTGGTACTGGCACTAGAGCTTTAAGTACAGCTTAAGAGTTGGGCAGACCAAATGCTTTTCTGTTTGTTACAGAAGTAGAGATTGCAGAAGATAGGTGCAAAATGCATGGAAAACATTGACAAGCTCTGGTCATTTGAAATAGGGTCGTTTAGTAACTTTTCTGAAAGAATGACCACAAATTTTTCTGTYGTCAGTGAAAAGAGGAAAAGAACACAACCCCCTGGTTCAGAAATGAGTGAAGATTATCCCAAAGAGAATGATTCTTCAACGTAAGCAACTGTTGTTTCTGATTTTAAATTCTTTGTTCATTAGTAAAGGTATGTTTTTCTGAAAAGAAYGCTCTCAGCCACTTGGAACAGGCCAGTCAGCTTGTGAACACATTGGGTGCTTGAAATGAGGCATGTGTTCAGAGTTAGTAAGAGAAATAAGAACTACTCCAGCAGCTGATTTGCTTGAACTGACACATGCAAATTTTGTGTCACCGTTCTTTTGTCAGCTACATCAGTCGGAATTGTCAAATGTACTATAGGTACTTTGACCTTTTTCAAAACAAAATAGATAAAGGGGAATTGCCATTTGGAGAAGAAGCTCCCTGTGTTTGAGGTCAGATTTAATTATAAGTAGGAGGTCTTGTTTAGATGAATTGTTAAATTTATCTGCGACTGAAGTTTGTTCATGGTCAAGTATTACAAGTGATAGGAGAGAAATGCTTTAAAACAAGTTATAAACATTGAGCAGCAATATCCTRTATCTTCCATAACTGCACTGAATTCCATCTTCTTTCTGTAGAAATAATAAAGCCTTGAGTGATCCAGCATGGAAGTACTTGAACAGTAGCAGAGAGAAACAGTTGAACCTGAAGCAGGCTGAAGAGAATAGGACATCAGGTAAAAAAAAAAAAAAAAAGTAAAGCCAAATGATACCTAGCCTTGACCAGTACAATTTTACCTCTTCGATACTAGTTTAGCAAGTTGCTGCAGAGATGGTTTTTTCTTATCTGTTTTCCCTATGCCATTAACTTCGTTGCTTCCTCCAGAGCTGTATATGAGATGCAAATAATTTTTCTTCATTTTCAAAGCCTGTCCTGCTTTAGTGAGGCCTTGACCTTTGTTCCTGGGGGCTGATGCCAGCCCATGAGCCAGTTTGTTTGAAAATTCAACAAGCAGCCTCAAAGTATTCCAAGCTGCCCTTTCCCTTGGGAGAGGATTTCTGTAAACTCCTTTTTGCTTGCTTTCTTATTTATTTTTATAAATATTTTGCTATTAATGCCCATGYGAGCTGTAGGCTGTTTTTTGTGATTAAGATGTGTAGTGTTTGCTTTTACTTCCTTATCTCTTCCCCAGAATTTACAGGGGGAGCTCTTTGAGGCCAGAACTTTTGTCCTGTTTGTACCAAAGTTCTGTTGGATACTGCTGTGGGACAAGGCTTTAGAGACAATACAGAAATAGTAACAATATGTAGATAAGCTAGTAAGCAGCACTGTTCTTCAGTTTTATGAATAAGTACTTAGCTTCTTTCTCCATAAAGAGGAATGCATTCAAGACCTTGTTTTCATGGGAATGCTGGTGGATACATTCTTTTTTTTTAGTGCAACTCTGATGGCACAAATGTGTTGTTGGAGCAGCCAGTAAGGTGAATGTTTACCTCTGAATAGTATAGTGCACTTTGGGTTTGATGGAAGATGAATTGAATTTAATACCATAAACTCCATCATATCTTTGCTCACATATTAATAATATTCACATTAGTATTTCTAGGCGTGTGTATTAGTTGTCTCCCAACCAGTTCTGGAATACAATATTTGAGAATTTTTAAACGGTTTGACTAAATACTTTCAAATAAGTTGTTTGTTGTATAAATAGCTGTGTAACCTAGAACAAAACGTCTTGCCTTTCTTTCTCTTTTAAAGGTGTTTTACCACTGCAGTCATCATCCTTTTATGGTAGTCGGTCCTCTTCAAAAGAGTACTCCACCGGCAGTTCCACCCTGGACAGGTAGGATTGATTCACCAGAATGAACTGTAAATGGCAGTTGTTTCCCAGGAATTAGGCTCTTCAGTTTCCTGTGTGTTGATTACATGGTGCTTATATGCWTAACATGGTGGATTTTGTTGGGTTTTTTTTTTTCCTTCAGGAGCACTGTCCAGTTCTTCAGTGTGTCTTCAACTGCCCTGCTTACATCTACAAACTCTTAGTTACTGCCTGCAATAGAAAGACTTTGTAAAATCACTCAAGTCTATCAYAGTCRTTRTGAATRACTCTAGAAGGTTGCAATTCTATAWAAAATCTGAAAGTTTAGTCTGAACCCTTGATTCTTTTTTCCCAAGCAGATAAATAGCGTGCAATTCTGTATTTTAGTAATAGTATTTTAGCAAATACTAAATCCTGCTGTGCTTGGAATTCTTCTGTGTTAGGTGCTGTGCAGTCAGACTCTCGGTCTCTGCCCTAGATAGATGAGATGAAAGATCAAGGGAGAAAAGAAGCATTGTCCATGTTTTAAATGTGAGGAATTGAGGTCCATAGTGATTACCTKACAAGAACAAGAGACTGAAAATGAAGACTCTGGCCCAGATATGAATTTTAAGCATATCTTGAGAGTGGTGGTCTCATGCTATGTAATCATTCTCCCTATCATACAGTGTGGAGAATTATAAAATGTTTGTAAGACCAYAGGCTTGATTACACTGTATGTACACTGGTGGATATGAGGAAATTTAACCAAGCTAAGTATTTAAGTGCTCTGTGAAGAAGTGTTCTGTCACACCTCTTTCATTGTGATACATGCCAGTTACTTTGTACGGCTTTACCAGCCCTTGTCTTYCACAGTGCTGCAGTTCCAGTGTGATGGACTATACTATAACTCTTTAAGAGAGCATTAGAAATCATACCCTTCTTATGCTTTTATGTTTCTAGGTCTAGTGTATCCAGCCAGACACCTTCAGCCAAAAGAAGCCTGGGATTTCTTTCTCAACCTGCTCCTCTTTCTGTTAAAAAAATGAGATCTAATCAAGAYTACACAGGATGGAACAAACCCCGAGTGCCCCTTTCCACCCATCCTCAACAACAATTGCAAGGGTAAATTTAATTTTCTTTATCTAGAATGCACACTTTGATCATCAGAACATGCACATTCTTGTTAYAATTACTTAATTAAAAAAATAATCCTGAAATTAATTAACACTGAGGTAGGGAGCACTCTTCCTAGTTTGGAGGATATGTGTTTTTGAATTCACTTCCTGGAAATTTTAGAGATAYAGTAATTTCAGGTAATTTATGTTCCTTTTATTTCCTTTAATGATGATTTCTGTCTTTACATGTGTGTGTGTGTATATGTGTGTATATATATTTGTGTGTGTGTATATATAGAAAAATAATTTTTTTAAAGTTTGATTGTAGAAGGCTCATGGGTGCTTTCCTGATAAATGCTACCTCCCATGAGTTTTCAGGTTAGTCTGAAGGGCTGGGGAACAGCTCCAATAAGAAACTCTGGGGGAGTGGCTGGGGTGAATGTCCTACCTATTGGTTGTGCCATGTTTAACTCTGGCAAGTTTGCACATTGACCATTAGACATAACGTGTTAATTTTTTTTTTGTTGTTTCAGATTTTCAAACTTGGGAAACACCTGCTATATGAATGCTATTCTACAGTCCTTGTTTTCTATTCAGTCTTTTGCTAATGATTTGCTCAAACAGGGGATCCCATGGAAAAAAATTCCACTCAATGCACTTATCAGGTAAAATTCTCTTTCTGGGAAAGCTGTTTTCTACTTTGTTACTGAGAAGCTGTTTTTATAGTACTGAAGCATCTTTGTAGAAGGTCATTTGCATGTATAGATAACAAAAGAAATCCTAGAGCTCTYTGTATTTTGGAGCTTTACTTTTGAAGTAAGACATAGATTCTTAAAACTTGTAATACTGAATACAGGCATTCCTTTACTAAGTTTCTAGTGGCAGAGTGAAATGCTTCAGAAGAAAATGCAATAAATTGCAAAATAAGTTYGATACCGAAAAGCTTAGAATTTTAACAGCTGGAGTTTAAGCTGGTCACTGACTTCACTTGATATGTGGGGCCTTTTGTTCAGTAGCTGGGGAAAGTGTTCAAGTTTTCATACTTAGTCTTTCTCTAAATTCAGCTATTTGGGATTTTTATTACGTTTTCTCCTGTGCACCTCATTTCTTTTCTGTCACTAATAAGGTGCAGGATTATCAGAACCATTTGTGTTTCTATTTCATCATTTTTTAATATCTCTTGAGGTAATTTTCTGTTTTCACTGTSTCATCTTGAACTCTTTCTGCACTACTTGGGATCAGAGGTTGTTCCATGTGCCTCTTGAAATGTCCTTTCTCTAATTCTTGTAGAAAGTCCTCTGAAGGTTGTGCTCCATATACCTAATGGGCAGTGTGTGATCCTGTACAAGTCAGAGTTGATACTCAAAGCATCTACTTTGTCTTCTCTTGGTTTGGCTATATCATCTAACCTGGTGACTGTTTTTCTGGTTGATCAGTGATTGCCTATCAACTGTGCTGTGGTTTCCTAACATGCTTCACTGAGCAGCTGTAGAGGGCTAGGACAGCACACGCTGTTCTTGGAGTTCAGCAGAGTAGCAGAAATTTGTTGAGCTGCAGTAAACTGATCAAATTCTTGGGGTAACTGAGTATTGGTTGGGTTTGGGATGCAAGGGGATTATATACAGGATTTCCCTGTCTTTGGGTGGGGGGKTTTTGTATCATGGAATGTGACATCTTCCTATCACTTTCCCATATATGTAGCATGACTGAAACTTGTGCTTGAAATATATTTGGTCTGTATGTCCTATGAAATTGTAAAGTAGTTGCAAGAGATAACTAAATCACAGTAGCTGAGAGACACAGGTAAAGTTAATTTCAAAAGTTTTTTAGCAAAGCTAACAGAAGCACTWGCTTGAACCAAGGAACTCCTCATGGCTCTTTTTGCTACAGCTGTTTTCTCAGTTATAATGTTTTTACTGCTGAGAGAAGCAAGGCTTGAAAATGAGTGGAAATTTTAAAGTAAAACCTAAGTAGAAACGATTCTGATCATTCAAGTTGAATTTAATGATTTTGTGTTGCTTATTTTGGTGCCTTGTGGTATTACATCTCCTGTCAGTACAAATGTTTTCAGAAAGCATTATGGGKTTTTTTTTCTCATTGTAAAAGAGCATAAATAAGTTTTTAGAGCTTTATAAGGCTTTTCTCTTTACCTTAAAAGATTGTGGATTGGTTTTTTCATTTGAGTGCTGTTTGATGATGGCCTCAAATGAGATCTCAAAATACTTGAAATGGAAAAGGTTAATTATATATGGGATATTTCATACAGAACCCCTGGACCACTTATCACAGGAGAAAAGCTTTTAGGAACTCTTAAAATTAGGTATCATAAGTTCTGTTTTGTTTCTTTAACGTCCTGGAAAACCAACCAGTGTTTCATTGCCTTGACTTCTGCAGACGTTTTGCCCATCTGCTTGCTAAAAAGGACGTCTGCAGCCCTGAGGTTAAGAAAGAGCTGCTCAAGAAGGTGAAAAGTGCCATTTCAGCTACTGCAGAGAGGTTTTCTGGATACATGCAGAATGTAAGTATCGTATTGTCTGGATACAGTTATGGACTGCATTGAACACTTGTCAAGCTTAAGCTGTGTTTGACGGTGACTTTTGATTGAATGGCAGTGATTGCTGCTGTTTGTTAGAGCAGAACTGCCTCAGTATAACTGAATGCAATGAACTAAACAATTTTCCCAATCTGTGCGTGTTTGAGAAAAATAATTTGAATGAAGTTGTACAAAATCTCTTTGTTGCATTTACCCGATTTCTAGGATGCGCATGAGTTCTTGAGCCAGTGTCTGGATCAGCTGAAGGAAGACATGGAAAAGTTAAACAAAACTTGGAAAAGTGAACCAGTCCCTAGTGAGGATAACTCACCAGGACGTGCTTCTGAAGACCTCTCAGCCACCAAAGTTTATACGTGTCCTGTTATCAGTAATTTAGAGTTTGAGGTTCAGCATTCTATCATTTGTAAAATGTAAGTGTGCTTGACAGTTTTTTTCAGCTAACCTTAAAAGGTTAGAAAGTGTTCCCATCTGACGTGATTTCATCTGCAGGTTGTAAACAAAATTAAGAACTATGTTTTATTCAAAGTTAGATATGTAGAAAAATACTCATTTGTCTAGAAATGCTGTGAACTTCTCACCATGCAGTCTGGTGCTGCAGGCCTTCTTTAAACAGTTTCATACCATCTCATTCTTCATTACATATCCAATGGAAAGTCTTTGTGCTTTGCTCTTTGTGTACCAATTATATGGGAATAGAGAGAAAAGGGGTTTCAGCCAAGAAATGTTTCCTTAAAAAAAGGAAAAAGGGGAAGTCATGGTTTTAATTTGATCTTTCTAAGGACTTCCACGGAATGGCATTTTCTTCCGTCTCTCTAYGTTCTTGCAGAAAAATATGTAAACCAGTACATTTGGGCATTCATTGTGTATGACCTGTGCAGCAGATTTTCATATGGGAATGCTTCATTCCACAGAGTTTTCCAGAACACAGATATTTGGGAATATTGGTTTGGGTATAGTTAATTAATTCTATAGAACAATTAAAMCTGAAGTTCTTCCAGGTAATAATTATGGAAGACAAATGATCATAGGGTCTTCTTTTTTCCTGGAAAAATTAAACGTAAGAAAAACTAGRGGGTTTTGTTGGTTTTGGTTTTTTAGAGGCTTTCTACTATTTTGTTTCTAAGGACAGTTTGAAAGTATTTCTAGCCCTTCACTTCTGCTGGGCTGGGCTCCGTTGTTTTCTCCTTAAAAGACTGAATGAAGGGGTGTTCAGCTATAGCAGTCACTTTGATTTCCTTTATACCTGATTGATTGCCTCTCCAAAGCAATCTGTGCATTTTTGTTCTTGCCCTTACACAAATGTTTCAAMTCCTAGAGCATCAAAAAGAAATTGCAAGATCCAACTTTGTCAAAAGCATCAAACAGTTCCATTTTGATGAATAAAAATATGATGATCAAAAAATATATTTTTACTAGGAMGTCACTTTACCCTAAAACATGCAAGTTCTCATTAATTTTAAGTTTATTTTTCATCAGACTTGCACAAGCGTGTTTCTTTTTTAGGTGYGGTGAAACGGTCACTAAACGAGAACAGTTTAATGACCTCTCCATTGACCTTCCTCGAAGGAAGAAATTCCTTCCTTCCAGATCGATCCAGGATTCTCTGGACCTCTTTTTTCGGGTGTGTACTTGGAGGGGGTTTTTTATTCATTGTGGAGTGTGTRTAGGTTATGTCCCATATGGAAATTCTGATTGTACAGCTGATTATTAGTTTATGTGACAGTGGTTGCAGGCATATGAGATAATGAACTTTGCACTTTTTTGAGGTTGTCCATTAACCTATGGGAGTTTTTATTGTAAAGTGCTGTGCAGAAATTAACCAATGTAAAATAGGTAAACTTCCCAATTTTGTGGTGAAAGATTTGAGGTGTAAATTAATACAGAGAGAAGGGAAGCTGTCAGATTGGGATAATCACTCAGGAATTGCAACTTCCTGTCCTGGGCTGGGATGCTTCAACAGCTTGTGTACAGGCCTTAATTAGCATGGAGGAAAAAGGTCATGCTGGTACAGYAGTTAAAATTAATATATATAATATGTGGATGCTCACTTTGTAAGTAGATCTTCAAGGTGAGGCTTCTGAAAGCTAAAAACATGCCTTAAGTCTGAATTGGTGTTGTACTTTGTCATTTATTGAGAYAAACCTTTATTTTTCCTCCCTGTACAGATAGTCTTTTCAACAGGTAGAATTATTAGCATACTTTTTCTTGTAAAAGCTGGTAGAGGTCTTAAGATTTTTAAAAATTCCTAAATTTGTAATGTTGTAATTTGGCCTCACTTCAGGTAAAAGGTTGTAGGACTATTTAATATACCAAAAAGTCAGATAATTTCAGGAAAGTAATGCTTTTGATGTATGTTCAGAACTCTACTTTCCTGCAGCATATCCTTGATAAGTTTAGAGGAGGCTARCTTTTGAGGAGCAAAGCAGAGGTTTTGAACAAGAGGGAGAAAATTTCATGGCATCTTTCTCCATCKTAGGTTATTATAAAAAAACCCAAATAAATCCTGTGTCTGGGAGAGAAAACTGTAAACCTCACAAGATTATCCCCTCCCTTTGGAACCTAGTTTGTCTTAATGGTGGCTAATTCATGGGTGTCCAGTAGACTTGCAGGAAAAATTGTTCCTATATTAGTGGGTACATTTATCAACTTTTAAGGTCTGCTGCCTATCCTCTTATTAAATGCCCTCTTATTAGGTCATACTGCTGTTTTGAAGAGTTTGTGTGACATGTATGATGTACTTTTGGTGGAGATCTGTGTGATGTGTCTTTTGTTCTACAAGTAATTTCTCTGGTCCCTTGCACTCCCTTATCTAGGCAGAGGAGATTGAGTATTCCTGTGAGAAGTGCAATGGAAAGTCTGCCGTTGTCACACACAAGTTCAACAGGCTTCCCAGGTAAATGCTGGCACCTGTTCCTCTCCTTCCTGAAAGCATGTTTTACAAAATTGCAAGCAAAAATCCTGTGAAGGGTAAAGCTGGAAACATGAGTAGGACAGCATGTACAGTGGTCAGAGTGTGACAGAGGTGCATCTGCAGTCAATCTTCATGCTGTTCATCCGTTTTGCTCTAAAGAAGCTCTCTTGGAAACCTTCAGCAGTACTTGTTTCTTCCTCTCAATTGCTACACAAGGAGGACTGAGTTTTCCCCTTCTCCTTTTCTTGGGGTTTCTGGGATGTGAATGAAGCAGATACAGTAAATATMTTCTGGAATTTTAATATTGCACAAGTTGAGTGATGGACAGGGCCATAATTACCTGTGTCTTGCAGATGAGAGTTGGTCAGCATTTGCCTTCTACCCCAAAGTAGCAATTTGGTTTGATCAGATGACTGCCTTTGGRAAAAAGGGTTACTTGGATTTTGAATAGATTTTCTCTGATTTGTGTCTTGAGATTAACACTTGTCCTCTCGTCTCTCTCAGGGTCCTGATTCTTCATCTGAAACGATACAGCTTCAATGTAGCATTGTCTCTCAATCATAAAGTYGGGCAGCAGGTGGTTATTCCAAGATACTTAACCCTGCTTTCCCACTGTACTGAAAGCACCAGGCTGCCACTGACACTGGGATGGAGTGTCCATTCTGCCATGTAAGTGTACAGCTTTGGTCCTTGCTGTGCTAATCATGTATGCCACAAGGTAGGCWGTTGTCAGATCTCCAGAGGATGTCTGGGCAAGGAAACATTACAATTATGCAGCTTTAGATGTGTGCTGCTGATTTGTAGTGATGCTGTCATAAGAACAGGTATGGAAAGGAAGCATGATAGAAGCAGTAGGTAGAGATGGTCAGGCATTATCTAGGGAATATTAGGTAAGATGATATTCTTTACTGTCCTTGAAAATAACTTCATATTCTTAAAAAGAACACTTGTGCTTCAAAATGTAGGCCTCTCAGTGCAAAGTAATCTAGATTGCCTTTCCCTTCAGAGCACTCTAATTCTGCTCAAAGACAAAACATCCTACCTTTTTCTGCTATTTTCCACTTGCACCTCCTGTGCTGTCATTCATTTTTCATTATCTTTCCTGTACCACTGTAGTATCTGAGCACTTTGCATGCTGAAAATACTCTCTTCTTTTCTCTGACAGTTATTTCTGTACAGCTGTCTGACTTGAGACACAGAGATTAAATGTGCTGGTTGTCACATAGGAGGTGTGTGGCAGAATAAGGAGCAAGAAACCCTCAGGTCTCTTGTACCCCCTGCCTAATGACRTAGCCAGGCTATCTGTAGTAGGCTWGGRCACATCTGGTGTGTATGTTCAGYACTGTGGCAGGTGTTGTGCCAGATGTTTAGTGGTGTATGAGATGTGAGTGGATGTTTCCCAAGAATTTGCTCCAACAGTAGAAATCTCAAACACCAAAGTTTATTTTAACTAGAGCAGCAGTAGTTGGAAATAGCTTTCTAATGTTTGGAGATGTTTTTAGTCATTGAAACCATTGTGATTGACCAGGGAGTGCAAGGGGAACTAGGCTGGAGAGAAGCAACCCTGGTTTGAGGGGGAAGATTAGAACAAGATTTCTGCAGTGGTTACCATCTGTTTGATACAGGTGTAGTGATAGTGATGGACTTTTAGGAGCCCATGAATGGATTAAATGGAGCAGGAAGTTTAGAATAATCTAGGTAAGGGAGGAGAAATGAAAATGTGGGATATGCCAGAAAACCGGCTGATCCAGACACCAGCAGGAGACTGTGGTTTGGGAGCAGGAACTCAAGAGTTGGTGGGAATAARAAATAAAGGAATGAGTTGTCTTGACATGGGAGCTGAGAGCCTTTAATTTGTGAGCTGGTCCCTAAGGGTGCATCGCTAAGAAGTGAATCAAGTTTAAAGGATTATGTATGGTTTTGAACAACTGTTGTTTATTTATAGTGTGATGAAGTTATTACTGTAAATCTAAGCAATTAGCAAGTACRTAATGGTATTCTGCTTGTTCTTTTGGTCATGGATTTGCATGCATAGCAGACAAGTAAGCACTTATTTTTTAAAGACTGTAACTGCTGCAATAAATAGTTTGCTTTTTTAATAGCTCCCGTCCATTGAAAGCCTCCCAAATGGTGAATTCCTGTACTGTAAGCACTTCCACACCTTGTAGGTGAGTTATACCTCTGAAATGTCCATGTCCAATGACCTGGGGTTTTGTGGCATAGTTTGTAAGGCATTTAAAAATTTTCTAGTTCTTTTCTATTTTTTTATGTTGTAAATTATTTCAGCTCCTGTCTTTTTTCATATCTGAATTTTATTGGTTTTACTAGCTAGCTAGCTGAAATTAATGTCAATGGTGCAATTTGCCTAGTTGGCACGATCACCTTTGCACTTCTTTTGAGAACCTCTGGGGACTTGAAAATAAGCAAAGATGATTTTTTTCAGGGAGAAGTCTGAGCATCAGAATGAYAAGTAGATGGTTGTCAGATGATTTGTCAGTGTCAGTTATCTTAAACTAGTCTGCACTTGGAGTTTCAAGTCACACATATAAGGAGCAAAATTATTTCTGCTTCTGCAATCTAGCTTTTTGTTCTGACTCTGTGGAGCCAAAATGTGTGTTTTGGGAGTGGTTGATTCCTTAAGTTTATTTGTAAAGATGGGACATCCAGTTTTTGATACTGTGAAAAATGTGATATCACACTGGATGGCTTTGTGTTGAGGGGTGCCTAAAGACCAGATTTACTCATAAAGTAGAATCATGATTCCCCAGACTCCCTTGCCTTCTTCTCTAAAGAAGCAAGAATTTGTCTTAATGGAAGGGCAGACAGGAAAACTGAAAAACTTGTGCAGTTTGTATCCTGATAATGATGTGAGAAGTCCTATGTCCAACTTAGTAAACTCGAGAAGTCAAATGTTTTATACCAAATTCTGTGTGTTACTGTGGTCTTGTCTCATTGAGTTCTCTTTGGGATTGTGAACTAATAAAGTGCAAAATCCTTGGCCTTATAATAGCAAGAGCCACACAATGAGTAATTTAATGTTGTAAGCTAYTATTGCAAGCTTCAGGTAGATATGTCAGTTAACCCCATWAAACRAACCTGTTCTGAAAACCCTGACTGCTRTGTTAATAAACTGTCACTGTCAGTTGTTGCAGTTTGTTCACCAGTTGAACAGTGTGAAAGCACTACTTCAGCAGTTACTTTGAGCTGTGTTTGTATGATTCTACAATGCCATTGAGTTTTATAGCCATATTTTTAACTTACAGAAAATACACTTTCAAGTCAAAGAGCTCTGCAGCATTCTGTGTAGATTCTGACAGCGATGATGAGCCATTGAAACGCTCTGTTGCTCATAGCCAAAGGTTGTGTACCATACAGAGCAGAGATCAGCAACAACTGCAAGAAGAGCCAGAAAAGGTAAGGGAAAAACCCATAAACTTTCATGTACTAGATCCTGTATGTGCTCATATCTTCTGTATGCTTTTTTTAGCATAAACTGAGTGAAATTTATGTCAGATGAGGTTTTTTTTTCCTAATTAGCACTGCAGTGCCGGAAGGGAGTGCTTGTCTAATTGATCTCTCTCTACAGTTGTCTTGAGTTCCCAYTGGGAACAGAGGTAATTGCATTGCAATTGAACTTGAGTTTTCAGGTTATGTATACCAGCTGCTTAGCAGTTTGGTCAGTCCTTGGGGTAACTTTCACTAATAATGTTCCTGGGCTGAAGTATAATGTTCTATCAATAATAAAAGTATGCAATAAAGCCCTTGATTAAATTAGATCCAGTGCAAGCTGGGCTAAGCAAAATATTCAGTTGAGAGAATTTCATGTACATCCCATCTCTGCCCTCTTTTAAGTGTGGCTTTTTAAATGCTTGTAGAATCTGAAGCTATCAGTTTTTGGAAGTGGACACATAGAAGTATGAAGAGACCAAGTTCATTGGTGTAATGGCACAGTTAATTTCAAATTGCCTTTGAGCTTTTCCTTGTGTCTAGTGTTAATGCTGCCAAGATACTTTTTTTTGCCTCTGTCAGGGYAGTGTATTAGCAGGTAGATGAGTTGTGTGGGGAGAAATTATGACCCAGAAGGGAATAGAAGCAGCTTAGAGGATTATCTTRTAGTACCACTTTCTTCTATTAAGAGTGTTGCAGGCCTAGTGCTTAGGAAAAGTCTCCYGCATCTCTGCGTCTGTAAAGCTTTTGCTTCACTGAAGTTTTTGATGATATAGGGTTATTTTAATCATGCAGAGACTTGTGGCCTTGATTATGGCATTAAGGGACAAGTGTAAATCTGGATGAATGGCAGTAGGTAACAAGAGGAAGATATCTACAGTTTCTGGTTYGATGAGAAGATCAAACCAAGGGAGGATCCTGACCCAATATTTAATAAATTATAAAACAGAAACTGAGTATTAAACTTTTAAAAGATCCAGAACTAGGAAGAGCTGCCAGTTTGATGAAGCTCAGAAATACAGATTAGAATGATCTTGACAAATCTGAGAAACTGCATAAAAATAGGAGGGGTTGTTCAATAGGAACAGGCTAAAGGTGCTAATCTTACCAGGATTAATCAGCTATAAATGTGGGATGAGAACAGCTGGGAAGGCAGTGGACCTTCAGAAAGGGCATGAAAGGTGACAGTCACAAGGTTAGGCAGGTTGAAAGTGGAAGTATCTAGGCAGAGCCTTAGCCTGCACATTGTGTGAAGTAACTCTCCTTTTTTCCTCAATGTTGAGGTTTAGCTGCAGGTCTGTATCCACCTTTGGGCTCTGGACTGAAAAGAGTTGTAAATTAACTGGAGAGGGGCCAGAGGAGAGAAACATGAATGGTCAGAGATCTAGAAAGGAAGATTTTGAGAGAGAGAGCAGGCAAGTGGTCTTCAGTTTGATCATTAAAGAGAAACCTATGCAAGGCTTTTGTCTTCAAGGAAGGTGAAGAAGTTAAGAGAAGCACTTGAGCTGTTTTCTGTGCCTGCAGTGCACAGAACAATAAGTAATAGACTAAATTGCAGACAATAATTTTTAGATTAAATATTAGGGAACACTTCCTGATGCTCAGGATATGTAGGGATTGAATAAATTGCTGTGGGAAAATGCAGAAAAGCCTTTGCTGAAGGTCCTGCAACTGCTGTCCTGCATGCCACATCTATACCTGGCTGCAGCTGGGGGAAGGAAATAAGCTTGTCTTTGAAGTCCCTCTTATGTACAGAAAAGGTATTTCAAACTGTCCTAACTGATTCTTCCTGGAGTTTTGTTTGTGAGGAAAAGTAGGTGGWTTTTATCACACAAGGCTTGTAAGTGCAGAAATTGTGGGAATAAAGCATGTTAATTTGAATAACAAATTAATTACAGGCTTTACAGCTTGTTGTGGGAAAGAGACACTGGTGGTGATGATTCCACATAAATTATTTTATTCTGTGACCGTGCACATTGGCCACTTCTCAACCACAGGCCTGACCCAATCATCTGTTACCATTAACCAGGTTCTGTGACCTCAGTGTTGCCCTGGGGGACCTGGTCCTGGTCTTGGAAGTGGCAGTACTGCTGCTGCACCTTTTCCCTTGCTATGATTCTCAAAACAGCTGTGGATGGGGTTGCATTAAGGGCTTGGCAGTCACTTTATCTGGCCAGTACATCCCCTGCCAGGCATTCCTTGCAAAATGTCCTTGCCTTGTGGGAGAACAGCTGGAATAGCATGTGTATATGGCACTGGGTTGTAGGGGCAAATAGAAGTTATCCWGCTAAACAGGGCAGAACTGCAGTTCCTGTGGTCTCTGGCTCTGCAGATGAAGTAGTATTTGAAGGACTTCTTAAAAATGCTTACTTAAAGCAGCCTGTCTTAGTGCCTAAGCTATTTAAAATTTATGCAAATAATGTCTAATAGAAAAGTTGTATTCAAATAATGCACAGATGCTGCCAAGTCTTTAAAGTCCAGCCACTGAATTAGTGGTAGTTGTTGGCAGAGAGCCTGGAACTAGGGTTTGCTGAAGAGCTAAACCAGTTTTGATGTTGGTAGCCTACAGGTGCAGGGAGAGAAATCAGAGAAATCAGTGCATAAATAGCTGTGAGGAGAGAGGTTTAAATTTGTCACTTCTAATTCTTGGAGGGCAACATGTCTAGCACAAGCAGTTTAGTTGGCTAATTCATTTGCTAATCTTGTTTGATAAGTCAGTTTTAATACAAAATGCATGCTGTATTTAAGTAAAAAGTAGCAGTAAAAATGTGTTTTTGTTAATTTTAACGAAGTTTTGAGAACCATCCTAATGCTGTTTGGAGTAAGATCTGGATAAGTACATTTTAATAGAAACTATCTTACTCCATTTTTAACATAATATAGGAAAAAAAATTCTAAGTATATGGTAAATAGTGTAATTGTGTAAACATGCATATGTGGAGGTTAACCTCTTGATTAACAGTTAATATCAGAATGCTTGAAGTTACTATATTATTTGCAAATCACTGTGATGTACGAGTTGATGAACATCATCTTTAGGAAAATGAACTGTAAAAAGGAAAATTGAGAATAAGTCTCAAGTGTTTTTTCTGTCTTTCAACTTATAGTCATTCCGTTCTTGGGAAAGAATAATCCCTCCCTTTCCCTGTTTAACTCTTTTCTTACTTGGTTTGCAGTCCTGCCCTCCTCCCTCTACTCACATCAAGATTTCATATGGCAAATCTGCAGCATGAAACYTAATTTTAATTGCTCTTCATACCAGCCCAATTTCAGTTTCTATTCTTCTATCCCTGTATTCAAGTTCAGTTACTCTCGTGTTGTTGCTTCATCCTTTATTAACAAACCTGGAATTTCCCTGCTTGTATCTCAGCACCGACTTGCCAGGGGCTTGAGGATTCATYAGAACCTAAAGGGGAAACATGCTAAAGAAAAGGAAGGAGAAGGGAGGAGTTATCTTGTGTATGCTAATCCACAGAGCCTGTAAAAACTCGTTGTAGTGTATATTTAAATAATCAGTGGAGTAAGTGTAGCTACAAAGGCTGTCTCTCATTGAGTCTCATGTAACTATGTTGAATGGAACTATGGAGTCTCATGGAACTATGTTCCAAGTTCTCAGTCCCTGGGGTTAACAAAACTTTTTTTGAAATCTCCACAGAAATGTAAATTCGTAAATGTGAATGTAAAACTGATGTTATATACCTGTTTATTCAAACACTTAATCATACCATTCATCCCTAGGGTTCAAAAAGAAGTAAAATGGAGGGTGATAAACCTGAGCTGGGTAATGCTGGTTTTGATGGAATGAGCGAAGATGAGTTGCTAGCAGCTGTCTTAGAGATTAGCAAAAGGGAAGCTTCTCTGTCTCTGAGCCATGATGAAGATAAGCCCACAAGCAGCCCAGACACTGGTTTTGGAGATGATGAAATTCAGGAATTGCCAGAAAACCTGGAATCTATGGAGATGGACAAACCCAAAATATTATTAGACTCAGGTAAGGCAAAKTAACTATCTTAACTGGACTTGTGAATTCCCACTTGGAATAGTGGGTTAAAGCAAGTTACTGATAACATCAGGCTGGTAATGGCTGGTGGCAGGAATTGGATGCAAGTGCACTGCTGAAACTGCCTGATTTCCTCCGTTATAGAACACAAAACTTTATAATTTCCCTGTATATGAAGCATTTAGTTCACTGAACTGTGAAAATGGATTTTCTTGTAAGTCTGTCAGCTCCATGATTCAAAGTTAATTTCCATTTTTTTCCTCTCTTGATTAACACATGCTTCCACAGGTTCCTGTGCCAGACAATTTAATTTCCTAGTACTTGGCCACATCTAGAACTGAATCTGCCATAAGCAGAAAGCATTTTCATTTCTGTAACTGTTGTAGCCTRGGCAGCATGGTAGCAGTGTTCACATGGCTGGTGTGCAAGAGGGCTGCATACCATCTGAATGCTTTCATAAATGCAGCTATTTTGTTACTAGTTACTAATGGATTTAGTTATTATCTATGTAACTTTTTCTAAAGCTTTTTATGTGAGAGTGGACCCATAATCATTAGAGACTCCAGKGAATTATGGCCTCTGACAGAGAGACACAGTTAAGTACAAGGAGGAGCCTGTGTGATCTCAGTGTGGGAAAGTCAAGTCTTCCTTTAGCCAGTATATATGGTTTGTCATTTGTCGTGTGCTACATGCTTCCAGTCAGGTTTTTAATTTCACTAGCATGGAAAAAAAAACCAATATGCTTATGTCCTCTAAAAGCCAGGAGGCTAATTAACAACAGAATACCACACTGTYACCAGAAATTACACTTGTTGCAGTGGACAGCTTTTGACAGCCTCAATGATGGAAGGCAGCATATAAGGATAATATTATGTATGTGATCAGCCTGATGTGTGCCCTCCTTTTTATACAGTAATGCTGCTTATGGTGGTGTGAGAGASAGTTGTGATAGAATGTGGCCACATAAATGTATTTGTCTCCAGGTTTTCTTTGGAAAGTATAATGTAATTATTGGAAGGCTCTTTTGTGACACTTAAGCAAAAAGTATGTTTTTAATATAAGTTCTGTATTTCTTCTTACTCTGCGTGTTTTCAAAGGCCATGTAGTAAATTCTGGTTTGTTTCTCATCTTAAGAGGATTAAACTAATGGATTATGTCTGTGGTGCTGTTGGTCTTGTGTTAAGGGTTCACAGATATTGAGACTGCCTTGTATTAGCCAATCAGCAGATTTTGAAGTCTGCACAGGGTAAAATCATGAAGTTTCACATGCTGCTGCCTGATAGTTGTTGGAGCAGGTCCTGACACTTTCTCAGTTGCAAGCAAGAATGAAAGTGTCTTTCAACTGCAGTAGTGTAGGCAGTGGTTGAATGGATGTTCATTCCAGAGGTTTCGTAAAGTGCTTCTGCCATAGTGTTTGCTTCAAAGGTGAATGAAAAAGTTAGAACATTCATACACCTTTAAAGCTGTACATAGTGTTCACAAGATTGAGGGCCTTACCTGAAGCAAAAGGTGCACATTTAAACAGTGCTTGAGATTTGTGCTTTCTTTCACCTTGCATATGATTTGGCTTTAATTGTGGTTTCATCCATTCGACTCGAAGGTATAATATGCAATGCAAATTTTTATAATYCATGGTTTCTTATAGAGAAATTCAAGTGTCAGCTTCATGGCTGCAGAAACCTAGTAGTGTGTGGCTTCTGTAGATAAATTTGCAGTTTCTGAGTGAACATAAGAGGCTAAGAAGAGAACAGGTTCAGGGATTAATCAAATGGTTCATTATACACCAGTTAAAATGAGCATAAGATTCTGTTTTGGAGCTTTTTCCATTTGACTCTTGTGTGGGTATTTTATGGCGAGTGARCTCACTGTCAATAGATGTCACTATGCTGCAAGTATTGTGGTGATTCAAAGAGGACTTAGCTGGTAACAAACAGAAGATCCAGGAAAGTGTAACTGTACTTTATGATTCCTTAGGTCCTGCCAATTTCACTGAGATAACTAAAGATTTTGATGAGAATAAGGAAAACAAAACTCCAGAAGGCTCCCAAGGGGAAGTTGACTGGCTGCAGCAGTACGATATGGAGAGAGAGAGGGAAGAACAAGAACTTCAGCAGGCACTGGCTCAAAGCCTTCAAGAGCAAGTAAGAAATAGTTTTCATCCTTAAGTTATCTTGCCCAACACTGGACACCTGAAAGCTAAAAGAAAAAGCTTGCATTCAGGCAGTAACTGCAAAGGGATTCGTCTGCTTTTTAAAAAATTATCCGAAGCAAACAGGTTTGGGTTTCTTCTASCTTCAGTGTCAGTAGAATGATGACRCTGGATAAGTCTGGGCACATTTTGTATGTGCTTTGAAAACTGTGCATCACATCACAGACCCACTGATTTCTCAAAGCTCCCCCATGCACTTTTGTACACTGGTTTGTCACATTATATTAAAATGGATGATAAGCTGAACTAAACTCTTCCCACCTTTAGCTTCCCTGGAAGCTCCTTCTTGCAGTGTGTCATGTCAAGACTCAGTGAAATAGGCAGGTTTCAAAGCCAAGGCTAAGAATGGTTGTGTCAGGTCAGGTTAAAGACATGTCTCTCCTAGTGGTGTTTCTGTTGCTAGTGAATTGGAGATGCTTAGTGAAGAATATAGGAACTGAGCATTTATGTGATCCTTCCCTGTTAGTAAAGTGGAAAGAGGATCCCAAATAATTTAGTCTAAAACAAGTCCTTTAAATCAGGCTTGGAAAAATTGGGGTTCTTGAGTTGTATGCTATCTGTATTCCACTTGAATGGCAAGACCTTTAACTGRTTGCTACAAATTTAACCACACCACTGAGAGTGAAGCAAGCACTTAGCCAGGTCTTTCTTTAAATAGGTGCCCTTGTCTGCTCTCTATTAATACCAAAGCTGTCATGGTTTTCCTTATGAGAGCTGATGTTTCCACAGCTCTTGGATTTTTCTCTCCCATTACTCATTATGAGGTGCTGGTTGGTATGTTCCATGCCAGATGTAGCTTTGATTCAGCAATGCCATGTAGTTTAACAAAGATTCCCAAGTGCTTTAGAAATAGTGAGATAAAAGGCCTCATGCTAATAATGTAAAACTGCCCTTTGAATGTGGTTCTGCGAGAGTTCTGAAGCAAAAATCTGCTATTCTAATGATCTGGGCAAGGAAATGCAGTGGCTAYGGTTATCTTGATTTGAAATACATAGTTGGGGTGCTGAATTCAGGTGTGCTGAAAGCATTCATRCCCTGAATTAAGAAGCCAGCTCATTAAATATTATTGACTGGCTTGCTGTTGCTCTGGGCTCTCAACAGTGGTGGGAGGAACAGGGGCATATTATACAAACGTTAGATGTGTTTGTTGACTTGAGGTTTCTTTGCTACTTGGTCATGGTAATATTTTTAATACCTGCTTGTTTAGTGGTGTCTTTTTGCATCCTGCCTTTGTGGATTACACCTGTTMCATGGAACCATTGGCTCTACTTTCAAATGGTTTAAAAATAACAAAATCTGTCAGGATTTAATGACTGTGTCCTYAGCTGGCTTTGGTCAGAAGTAGACTAAATTTTGCTGAAGTGTGAGGAGCTTTGTGTGTAAGTGACAGCTTTCCTGAGCAAAGGGTTGCAAATTCATTCAGATGCTTTTCAAATTAATGATCCAGGGAAAGTATTCGGTGTTACTAGAGACTTGCTCTGCTGCATACCAAACTTCAGGAGCTTTGACAAGCCTTAATGAAGGTCTGTCCCAGGTTCTGTTGCACAGGAACATTGGACTCTCACTGGTTGCAAACATTCCTTCACACAGAACCTTTAATTTACAATGTCAAGTTTGTTGTAGAAACCAGAGYGGCACAGTTTCAATGGAAAAAGAGCACCACAAGAATTTTAAACAGTGAAATGTCTCAATGAGCTAAGTTTTGTTCTCTCCCCATTAGGAGGCACGAGAACAGAAAGAGGATGATGACCTCAAACGAGCCACGGAATTAAGTCTACAAGGTGAAACTTAAATAAGATCTTCCAGTATGTTGCTTTTGAGAGGAAAATTGATCTGTGTATATGAGTGCAGCTCCTGAGTGTCAGTAAGACAGCTGGGATTCATGTTCTTTTGGTGTGTGCTTTGTTGTGTTTGGCTGYGCTCAAGGTCAGATGTTCTTGGTTGTGAAAGCAAATGCCAGGAAAAACTTAATCTGAAAAATTACTTCAGTCTCTTGAGTTTTTAGTTAGATATAGAGATATATAGAGACATATGTATAATAAATTATATGAACCATATAGAATATATATCAATGCATAATACTCATTTAGAGAAAGCACAATGGATCTTGAAACTTTGCATTCCCTGCAAAAGCCAGCATGCTAATGCCCCTAGTCAGAAATAATGATTATTTGTTACTTGCACTGGTATGTTAGTGTTGAYTAATGAATGTCTGATACAGGATGGGAGGGAGACAGACCTCACTGCAAGGTATAGCTGTTGGGGGTGAAGAAAGAAACSCAAAACACACTATCTGTCTTCTCCAAATCCAGACAGTAGGCCTCCTCAGGCACTGTTTAGCATTAGTGTGAGGCTGGCATGCAAGTGATTTCATACAATCTGGCAGAGCAAAACATAACTAAGGAAAATTCCTGCTCCAAAGAGGGAGAGGGAGGGATAATAAAGTGTTGTGTTAAGATAGTTGTAGTTGCTCCGGGCCTTTTAAAGGCCCTCAGTTGTTACTGGATAAACCCGTGTCAGCTTCTGAAGAGAAATAAATTGAATACTGCTTAGGTATCCTTCACCCTGAGCTCTRGCAGACTGAGTGACCAGTCCCTCTTGGCTTTTTCTTGATTTTTCTTCAGGAAAAGTTCAAGGCTAGAAATCCTTCATCTCCTTGATATGCAGTTGCTTGGCTTAAACAGGAGCATTTCCTTGCTACTTTCCTTGTGTCAGGAAGTAGTTGTTCAAGGAGATGAACACAATCTTGAATGCAGAGCTGGTAGCATTTGTTTTATGAGGGATTCCAGTGATGCTGTAAATAAAGAACCAGTCATCCTGGCACCACTGGTGAAGYGGCATTTAGCAATTCCTGTGGCAGRTGCTTTGTGCAGAGACCTACTGAAGAAGCTGTAGTATACCTTACAGCCCAAATAAGTGACCAAAGCAGCAGTAGAGGATTCCCAGTTAAGCAAGGGAGTCATCTATAAACTTCCCAAGAAGATTATACTAATCCAGTGACTGAWGATTTAACAGGACAAGCAGTGTGAGAATCTCTTTGGCAAAACATCTCCATCACAGCTGGCGTGATAGTCTCTTGAAAACAGACCAGAAAAAATTCCTGAGCAGTGTCCTGTTAATCTCAATTTCTCATCCACCCAGGACTCCATAGCTTTAATTTAACTGGTGAAAGCATAGCTACTTCTCCTAATGAGTACTGTACAAAATCTTAAATTAGTTAGGTAGCTGCAGAACCCCGGGAAGTTTGGAACAGTCTGTACGGGGAGCAGCGGTGCCTTCCGGCTCTTTATAGAAAGCTGCGTGCATTTTGCTCAGCCAAGCAAACTGGAAGTTCCTGTGGTGAGCAGCTTTCTTACCATTGAAAACAATGAAAAGATGCCTGCTGCCAGCAGTAGCATTTTGATGCCAGTTTTAATTCAAAAATTCACTTTGTTAATGCAACTTATAGTTAAAACTGTAATTCATRGTTTGTTGTTGCAGTAACTTGCAGTTCACTGGCCAGACTGGCTGTCCTTTTGCTGTCTGCCCTGTCTGCAGCCCACTGGTGCTCCAGGGCCAGTTGGGTGTTAACTGCTCTTTTATCACCCAGCTGTCATTGCCATAGTGCCCTTTCAAAGAAGTATGGGGGAGAAGTATGCTAAAATTGATTCCAAGGTATTTAATTGTTTCTCTGACAAGTTGGGAAAGGGAAAGGGCTTTTATTTGGAAATTCCAATAGCCCCTGCTTTCCTTGGAAAGGAATTTTGAGATTTTATTATGCCTGTTTATGTGGGTAGATATACCTCAATTTGTTGTGAATTCTGGTGTGGTCCACAGCTTCTCATGCAGTTATCATTGTTTCCTTACTATCTAGAGTTTAACAGCTCTCTCCTGGACAGCGTTGGCTCTGATGAAGACTCTGGGAATGAGGATGTTCTTGACATGGAGTATTCAGAAGCTGAAGCAGAAGAGCTGAAAAGAAATGCTGAGGTAGGAGCCATGATTTCAAAAGCCAACTAAAAAATATACCCATTTTTTGTAGTATTGAAGGTAGTTTTACAAAGCAGATGTAGAGGCTATAATGGTCTTTTATATTCAAAAGTGAAACCATAGAAAATTCTTATCCATAAGTCTTACTGTGTTATTTTAATCACAAAAAAAACCCAAACCAAAGCAAGCAAACCCTTAAAAAGACAAACAGCTGCAGAGACATTCTGAGTTTCTCTAAGAAACTCTTTAAGAGTATTGTTAGGGAATTCTCTAGGTAATATTTCCTGGTCAAGAGAGGATTAAAAAATAGTCAGAAGCTGTTGAATAGTTAGAGCATGTTTCCTGCATGCAAAGAGGGTGTTGTCTACTGACATTACAGGTGCAGGACAGGAGAATTTGGGCTACATATCCAGTATTAGCTGTTGAATCTGTGTACCGTTATCCGTGGTATGTCTTTGATAATTCAGAAGTAAGCATGATGTTCCTTTTTGGCTTTTCTGTTTATTTGCTGGTTTAATTCTGACATCAGTGGAAGTTGCTCAGGAAATGGTTGTTTAGAAAACTTTGCAGTGTAGAGCTCATGTCAGCATCTGTTCCGAGGTCAGAGAAGCTCCTTTGCATTTTCACTGTGTTGCTGATAGATTAAATACACATTTCCCACTTTTGGAAGAACTACTTGTTTGGTGTGAGCCAGGCTGTCTGTTTCTGTAATCCTTCATCAGGTTGCAGCTTTGAATACAGTAGCAAAGCTCTTTATCACAGGTATAAATTATCTTGTCCATAAGCTAGGTGGAGGGAAAAAAAGCCTGAAAGCTTTAATTGTACTTTTTTTGATCTCCAGACAGGAGAGCTTCCTCACTCCTATCGTCTCATCAGTATTGTCAGCCATATTGGAAGCACATCATCTTCAGGTAAAAGATGCCACATTTTATTCTTCATCTCTYACCTATTTTTCAAGATAGGTAATGCTGTAATGCAGGATTACTATAGCAGAATTAGGCAGCAAAGCAAGTCTTCTGTCATGACTTGCTGATGGGGGAACAGGCTGGGTATGTCACGGCACCTGACTACAACATGTAGGAAACATACAGCTWATGGGCACTGTAGAATTGCTTGTGTTTGTTACCAGCTGATTCAGGGACCAGGATCTTAAGGGTCCTTTAGCATTTACATCTGACATCAGTGACTGGATCAGGGTACCTAGCTAACTATCTAGCTAACCAGCTCATTGGTCAAAGTGCAGCATGGAAAGAAAGGTGTGCAGAGAAGTTGTGGCTGCCCCATTCCCAGAAGGGGCAAAGCCAGGTTGGATAGGGCTCGGAGCAACCTGGTGTAGTGGAAGGTGTGATCTTTGAGGTCCCTTCCAACTCGAATCATTCTGTGATTCTCTGTTGCTAAGGTCATTATATCAGTGATGTCTATGATATCAAGAAGCAGTCCTGGTTCACCTACAATGACCTGGAAGTGTCTAGAACTCTAGAAACCACCGTTCAGTGTGACAGAGATCGAAGTGGATACATCTTCTTCTACATGCACAAGTAAGTGTCTTGGGGAATTTTGGTGGTRGAAATTACCTGCTGTTTGTGAGGAAGTGCACTTCTCTTCTTCCTCTGGCCTTTTGCTGGGATGAAACACATCTTCAGAATAACAAAATTGAGGTGCTCTGAGTTCAGAGGTGTGGGATTGTATGTCGAATGCATTAAACAGGAATCAGTGTCTCGGTGCATGTGTTGCACCAGAAATCCTAATGGAGCTTGTGTTTTTTCCTTAAGCTGTGATATTTGYAAATGCCCTTACCCCTGCTCCTAAAAGTTGTGTTGTTGCAGCCACRGTCATCTCAGGACACAGCCAAAATTAAGTTTGTAGGTAGAAATTATATCTTTTCAAGGCACACAGATATGAAGAAGGTGGGTTTGTCTCCGCCTTCTGTATTTACTGGTGCTTGGAGATGTCAGATAAGACATCTTTCTTGGCCAGGATTCGTGACGCTTAAGTTTGTGGAATGAATCCAGTTATCAATTCCCTCAGGGCTGTGTTAGGTAGCGGTTTGTTGTTGTACATAAGTTTCACTGTTGGTCTTCCCTTTTGTTCTAGGGATATCTTCGATGAGTTACTAGAAACAGAAAAAAATGCACAGCCACTTAGCATGGAAGTAGGAAGATCGGTTCGTCAGCCTCTGTGAAGAGTAAAACACCTTGTTCCTCCTGAGGAGCAAGGAAGATTCTGAACTTGTGCCAGACATGCAGGAGTAACAAACAGCTCAGGGCCAAAACATGAGACAAAAGGTAGAAATATGGGACGCTCGGTTTGTTGAACCATCTGTGCAAGTCCTGGGCCTGAACTACACGTTTAAACCTTGACATCCGGAGCGATCCTYCTGTGGTGAAATTTTTAATGTTTCTCAAATAATTTTGTCAGCATGGAGCCTTAAAGAGTTGTAACAAGCCACAAGACTACAGCTGCTCATAAACTGGTTTAAAAAATAGTGCAAAAAGAGACTCGACTYTAAAAGCCCATTCACCTGTGAGACGTGAGTGGCGAAGATTTACATATCACTTGGCGCTTTTTTTCTTTTCTCCAAGAGCAATTTAAGCAATAGACTGTAACCTGGCGTGTGTTGTGTTAGTAATATTCACTGGAAAGCCAGATCACTTGAGTAGGCTCTTGCCAGTCATCTGGCTAACAGGCATTTTGGAATAACTCAAGCTGATGCGTTGTGACATTCATGGGTTTGTAAGCGCTCCGCTATTTATGTGCGGTTCCAGGAAACAAACTGTCGGTGCTGTGGAATGTATTGATACCTGGTGGCAGCTCTGTTGTTTTTTACACCATTCACTGTCATCCTCATTTAGATGTGAGATTATATATGTGATTTCTTTTGTTTTAAAAGTTCTGTTATTTGATTGCGTTTTCTCTGCGAGGTTGTTGCATCAGTGCCGTTTGGAGAGGCGAGGTCTCCCGTTGGGTGTGCCGTGTTTTGCACTGGAGTTGTGTTGCTTAGGGCTGCTCCAATGTGACTCTGGGGTAGSTGAATATCTGGAGCAGTGGCAGGAGGTGAGCAACAGCCTCTTTGCATGTTCTGGGAGGGAAAGAGCGTTCTGGCATTACCCTTCCTGTGCAGCACTGGCACTTGAACTGCTCTGTGATTGAACCACGATCTTGCCATGGTCCTGTATTATCCCAGGTGAGAGGCTTTGTACTGCAGCCATGCCTCCCTTTCCTCTCTGAGGAGTACAGAGTGCTCAAACTGTGAAACTAAACCAGTTTGGTGGAAAGCTTATGTTCAGCATGAACAGAACATGGTTAGGAAGAAGTGATGCTTTCTGCTGGGTTTAGAAGCATGATGCTCCTTTTATAGCTTGTTTCAGCAGTGGGGAGAGAAGCCCATTGAGTTAATTTTTTTTAGCACCTTTGCACTAATTTAGCAGGGTCAGATGTTTCCTTTCACTGACATTTATTCATTTCAGAGAAGTTGTTGCTCTAAGCAGAGTAGCTGCTCTTGTTTTGGCCTCTAGTTCTGATTTTTGCAGCTTGAGTTTTAGAGATGAAAGACTTCTTTAAGGAGTCTTTTGCTGTTGAGATAGTTTCTGAGTTTTTTAAACTATCATTAGGAGTTTCTCAGGAAAAAATCGGCTGCAGCAAAGCAGACAAAACCATCAGTTTAGGAGACATCAGGCACCTTTCACGGGCACTTCTACACTAYAGAGTTTATCCTGGCAGGCTGGCAGGGCGTGCCGCTGCCTCAGGGGCCTCTTCCCACATGTGCACAGCAGTGAGTGACAGCATCGGTGTCCTCCCCACCCCGAGCACTTTGGGGACTGAGGTGTGGTGAGGACTGACCTCCCTCCCAGTCCCCAGGTGGGACAAGCACAGGGRCCTGGTCACAGTGGCGTCTCCCTGGTCTCTCAGCCAGGAGCAAAGGTTTGGTTGTAGACATGCCAGAGTGTTTATTTGGTGAGACGCAGCTCGAGGGGAGTGTGTGTTAATTTATTACAAAGCATTATACTTTTCTATTGTCAGTACTCATTTYGGTCGAATTCTGGGCGATGGGAAGAGGTGGTGACGTGGGAGTTGTCCTTTGAACTGATCACCCTGCGAATGTGATGGACTGCTCCGTCCAGAGGGCAAACCTGTTTTCCCCAAGCACATCCTATGCTTGTGCTGTATATAACTGGTATTCCTGTAGTATCAGAAGTCAGCTCTGCTTTTTTGGGTGGCAAGGTTGTTTTTACAAGGCACTGCACTCCACTTAATTTATAATAAAAGCAAATATTGCCTGATTTTTTCAGTGCAGTAACTTTTGTTTAAAACCCAGTTTTGTTTGGATCGAACTACAAAAGCTGATGCTTGAAACCAGTGTTTCTTGTTTTATGAAAAGTTCTTGCTTGTTATTCTAGCCATTAAGAATTTGCAGATACCTACTATAATTTAAGCTTTTTTGTTTGGCATACAGCAGCTCACTTGCTCCTTCACCCGGGCAGGAGTGTCCATGGAACCCCTTCCTTGCAGAAGCCAGCTTTTTTCCTGTCCAAGAGCAGTGGGGAGGATGACAGGTGTGTAATCCTCATGAGTTGTGCTGCACACCAGTTGAATCATTCCCACTGCTTATGCTGTTGCAGGTTGGCCCTTCCATGTATGATACCTGTCCTTGGATATAGGTAGGTGAAGCTTAGTTATGGGCCCTGAACATGTGCTAGCTCTTCCTCAGTTAARCATTTACCCACTTCTGAATCAGCCTGGTTTCATACAAGTGATTCACCACAGAAGCTCAAGGAATTCCTCTCCCTCCGTTCCTCTCATCCCTTCGCTGTCTGACTGAGATAATTTGCTCTTGATTTACCCCCCTAATCTGAGAGGGGCAGAGCTTTCGTGTCAATGAACTGGAGCTTGTGTGCAGACCCCGGGGAGCTATGGCCAGCAGGGCTGCACAAAGAGCCTTTGCAAAGCAAGGACTGGTTTCCCAACCGGAGCAGCAGAGTGGGATCGACGGGAGCAGAGAGCAGGGCTCTGCAACACCTGTGGCCTCGGCCTGGCCTTCCCCCCTGCTTCGTGCAGCACAGATAAGATCGCCCCTGCATCCTCCTTCCCGTCCTGCATCCGAGGAAGGGCTGATTGCCAGCTCAGCGCTTCCTGCTGCGGTTCACCCTGGCACGAGGCACGTGGGGAACGCCGTGCTCCGGGGAGGGGGCTGGGAATAACTCGTCTGCTTTGTTTTTAATGGAGCTAATTATCCCTGTAATTGCCCGCCAAAGAGAGAAAAAGGGGTGTGGGACCCCTAGCAGCTGCTGTCCGTGTGGTTTGCTGCCGCTGGCTTCTGCCTGCACCCTGACTGGTTCTTTACACTGTTGATGTGGAGCAGTGCTTTTCTCTGTGTTTTAGCAGACCTGTTCCTCTCTATTCTTTACAGTTTTTGCTCTTGGGTTCCCTCTGCCCATTTTTAAATGATGTGTAGATAGATTTTTGTGAAATTAAAATCTCTTTATTAACCCTCTCTTGATTTGGGATCTTATTTCTGATGGTTCTTGATGCACCTCCGCCTCCCCTCTGGCATTGGGACTTTTCTCGGTTACCTGGGAACATCCTGTGGTGTTCAGTGCCCCTCATCACATATCAATCCCAGTCCCCCTGCTAGAGATAAGTCCCCGTGGGAGACACCCCAGTGCTTCTCAACATCCCTGCAGAGCCCAAGTAGAAGGGAGGGGCCCTCCTCCCCTCCTGGGTCAAGGACAAGTGAGCCCTGGTGTCTGTCCACGGGCACACTGTCCCCTCATTTACCTTTGGTACATGTATTTATGGCAGTTCAGGTGATAAGGGAGGGAGTGGCTCCAGCTGTATACTGGACCTTTAGCCTGAAGCTGCACGTGCCAGAATGGGATGGGAGMGTCCTGACTCCCTGGGCATGCCCAGCCTGTGCATCACGGCTGAGCACAGTGAGGGCAAAGGAAGGCCTCCGGGAAAAGGAGGTGAGAGTCCTTCCCTGTGCTGCTGGGAAGTCAAGACCTGTGTCTCCGTGTGTGCCAGCTCTTTGCCAAATAACCCCCACACAGGGGGTTGGAGGGGAGAGATCACAATTCCTGAAACTTTATTAAATTTTATTTAATAAGGAACTGGGTTTGTCTCTGTGCCCGGGCCCCTTCCCTAGAAGAGTCCTTTGTCCTTCTTGAGCTTCTGTTGTTTCCACAAGGGCAGGTTGCTGAAGGCGGAGCGGCTCATGCCRAAAGCAGCCTGGAAGTCCTCATCGGAGAGATGGTCCTGGGGCCRGAGAAAGGAGTCTGAGCTGAAGAACAGGGGAGGACTTTCCCTGTCTCCCCCTCCAGCAGCCCCCTGGCCTCATCTCACCTCCTTCCTGCTGGGATCCACACCCCGGGGCAGGTCCTCAGCTGARGTGTTCACCAGCACGTCCAAGGGGAAGGTCTCCAGTTTGGTGGGGATAAGGGTGGTGGAGGCAGTGAACACCTCTTGCTTGGATGTGATCATCTGAATGGGAGGTGCAGAGTTCACATCAGTTTGTGGCCCAGGGATGGAGACAGCACTGGGAGGATCTGTCTTTGCAGCTCCTCCTGTCCTGCCAAGGGCATGAAGGGCCTTTCTGTGCCCCCACCAGCCCAGCTGCCCTTCTTGTGCCACTTACTGAGGTGAGCTGCCCCAAGCTGCTCTCGTCACCCAGCTCAGCTCTCAGTGTCTCGTAGGATTTCTTGTCCTGGGAAGGGGACAAAAGTGCTCAGGCTCTCAGCACAAGCAGGGGTCAGGCAAACTGCTGCCCMCACCCTGGAGCTGCTCCTGGGGCCAGAGCCACATCTGGTCCCTTTGCAGATGGGACCTGGCCATTCAAACACACTCCATGACTCACCTCCCAGTTGAGAGGGTCCCAGGCCATGAACCAGCCAGTGAAGGTGGGGGGCTCATAGCCCTGCTTCACCACAATGATGGGGGTGTCAAGGTCACGCCCGCTGGGGTGGCTCCGGAGGTACTCCTGTGCCATCACTGCTGCTGCCTCCTTCTCTGACTCGTTGGCGTCTTTCCCAATCCAGAGGAAAACCTGCAATAAGGTTATCGTGTCCACCACTGGGATGAGGTGGAGCCCTCTGGGGCCATGGTTGGAGGCACACAGGCTCTGGGGAAGAACACTGGGAGTCCATCCTCAGCATTCCCTGGAGCAAGAAGGCTGGGAAAAACATCATGGGGCCACGTATGGGCAAGTTTCTAGCCTCCCATCCCACCAATGGTGGCTGATGTAGGTCCTCCAACCCTGAGAACATCAACTTCTGAGATCAAAGGTCTGCGCCCTACTCCGTGCTCCCCCAGCTCACCTGGTCCCAGGCATCTAGTAGGTAAACATCACTCTCCTCCAGATCATCCTGGGTGAAGTCTATGATCTCCGTGGCCAAGAAGGTGCCTGTCTTGTTGGAGCACTCAAAGAGTCGGGGGGCCACGGAGGGGTTCTCCTCCTGCAGCCTGGGAGGGGTCAACATGGTGCGAATGAGGTTCACCCTGCTTGGRGACTGGTGGCCCATCTTACCCCCGAGTGTGGGTAGGGACAAGACCGGTACCTCTTGCTGCTGGCATATTGGGACTTGCCCCCCAGGGCCAGCCAGAACTCAGGTGGCTCCTGTCCTTCTGCAATCACTGGCTTCTCCATCTTGGAGATTATGTCGGCCACGGACTTGGCCATCTCACGTTCATCCCCGCTGCAGCCCTGTCGAGCAAGCACAGCTGTTCCATCACTGGCCCAGGCCAGGGAGGAGGAAGAGGTGGTGGGGACAGTTCTCTGGATGATGGCAGCACCCACGCCAGTGCCCAGCAGTACTCACCTTCCCATACCAGAGGTAGCAGCAGCTGGGTGTTTTGAGCACAAAGACGTCATTAGAGTTGAGGGAGGAGGCGCGGACGGGCACCTCAAAGGCCTTGGTGTTGTACTCATTGGTGCCGTGCACTTGGAACAGGCGGGTGGAGGGCATGGGCGCCGTGCTGCCCGTCCGTGACGTGCCACCCTGGGGGACAGGGACAGGTCACCACCACCGCCACAGGCTCACTGACCTGCCTGTGTCCCACCAGCCCCATGCTCACCGCGTAGACCACCATCTTGCCCTTGAAGATGGCCATCAGGTGGGCCGGCTCCTTGCCCATGGTGACACGGATCTGCACAGGCTCRTTGTTGTACTTCTGGTCCAGGGCCACGGCGTGGTAGGCAGAGGCGGCCAGTTCATCTGTGGTGGCTTGGCGRCCCTGGGCGGGGCAGAGGGGGCTCAGCACCCATCACAGCCCCTCTTGGGAAGAGACAACCCTCGTGCTGTTCCCAAGGSGCAGAGCACCCCCAGCCCAGGGAGGTACACCCTTGTCCCCCACCCCTGGGGCAGCGACCTGGAGGTCTCACCTGCCAGAGGTAGATGATGCGGTTCACCTTGGGCCCCACGGAATAGGTGTAGAGCACCAGGTAGCAGTCCCCACCATAGAAATGGCCCAGCCACTTCTTCTCTACGGGCACCAGCTCGTTGTTCTCCACTCGCCAGACCTGGTGGGACAGGGATATGCTGCTGTCAGGGCTGTTGCATCCTCCTGCCCTG